CGCATACTTTTCACACTCGCCGGGCTTTGCGAGTGCGCGTCGGCTCCCGCGGACGCCGTAGCATTATCTCGAGATACTTGTAGCGACATTGACATTGTGATGTGACGTGGGTGTTCGTAGGCCGGCCTGTCACGGGGGCCTGTCGCCTGCATTCGAATGTCCGTGGTCGGCTCAGCTCACAAAAGTGAGCAGTTTCCAGTGGCACCACTTGGAGGAACGGACATCACCACCCTCTCAAGTATAACTAAACCTATCGTATTTGAGATTTTGAGATGGATTCATATTTGGGGCCGACCAGGGCAGGGCAACTCTGGAAAAAATCATTTAGAATGAGATAAGTTTTCGGGAATTTTCATGGGGAACTTTTTTTCACACTGCAGCTTTTTAGAAGAGTAATTGTTTTGATCAATTTCCAGATTTTTGATTTTGATTTCATCTTTTTTGCTTACAACTCCTGACCAGTTGTAAACCAGTCATGAGTGTCTACCACTTGTCTCCAACGCTCAGATATTTCTCGACGCTCCTTCTCCAAACGGTGAGCGTCCGGGTCAGAAGAGCAGGCAATTTCGCTTTTGAATTGAAGTTGATCGTTGAATTATTTTATCATGATGATGATGATTAAAAGCTCTGTATAGGTGGCAGCCATTCATAGCTCGACCAGGGAATACGCTGGGAGAGGTAAGAAATCTTGCCGCAGCTCCAGAATTTCTTACCGGGCTCATTTCGGATCATGGTGATTCGCAATGTCATGAAGTAAATGAACATTGTCGCGGTACGACAGGTTGCTTCGGCCAACCTCTGCAGTTCTGCCAGTGTAGGTCTCAATGGCTCCCATATCGAAGAATAGAAGGAATCGTAGTCGAATTTGTAGCGCCTTGGCCAGGCACTCCTGTAGTGGAGAGTGGGAGACGCTGCTAATTTGAAGGAGTATCAGAAGATCGAAAGCAATGGCTCACGTGAAACACGCTATAGTGGGAGCCGACTCCCCGGCTGAAGCTCTTCGATATGGCATTGATCGGTTTCATGAATTCCCAGTTATAGAGACGTTTGTAATAGGCAGCAACCCCGAGTGCAGAGTGGCTAGTAGTCGAGGTTTTTCGGGCTTTTTTGGACAACTACTGACTGCAGCGCCAATTTCACCCAGCGACTGGTTGCCTGTTACAGGACTTCTGTCCAACCTAATAAAACCACAAGTGGACACATAATGCTGTGTGGTCGCTCTGGGACTTTGGACTATCCTGAGTTATCCTACCCATCCCGTGGGGTTATGAAGGGTAAAGTGTGCAGCGGCAGATTTCGCCTTCTGAGCAGATAGGGTCAGTGGATTAAACACCAGAACCAAATGTTACATTTTTAGGATAAATGCACAAGAAGTAGCGTTCTTTTAGAATGAGCGTGCAAGGAGTAGCATCGAGTTGGTCTATTTTTAACTAAACCATAGGCACCATCAACTCGAAGGGAAGGTGGGTGGGTGGGGGAAGGTATTTCAGGCTGACCCTGAACCAGTCGCCGGCTACTGAGGGTACAGCGGCGAAAAAGGTTCTGACTGGTAGAATAGGAAGAATACCTGTAAAGTTGAAGGAACTTTTCATACTGGACACTGTCATGAGCCAAGTCTTTGAGATTGACTTAAAGGCCATCATATCAGAACGTAGTGGGTACGGGTGTCACCCCTAACGCATTGATTCGCTGAAGAGAAAGGGTAAACCATTTGGCGCTGCCCACTCACTTTTGGTATGTGCCACGTAATTTGGTTACACGAAGAAGCGTAGTACCTTTGAAAGCGGTTTGCGTTAAACAAGGACAGCATGAGGGGGGAGTGCAGTTGATATTTACTCCAGTACTATCCCACTTACATACTAGTCTGTATCTAGTTAATCGGTCCTGATGGATGAGAAGCTTATTGGCCTGAACGGGGTGAGATCCGAGGACGCCGTGCGTGATAGTCGGCACCACCGTCACTAAGCCACTTCTTTCAACTCATCTAGACACCACGCCATATAGTGATATCATTGATAAACTTGCCATATTATCGTGATTCCTAAGCTCTGAAGCTTTTCGATAAGGTCATATAAAAGCTTCGTGTGGGTAGCAACGCAGCTCTTTTTACGTTTGAGGCTATCTGAAGGGGCAATGTAGGCAGATCTCTAGACGCAAGTTGTTCCACAGATAGCAGGCAAAAGGGTGAAATTAAGCATGTCAGAATTTTTCTATTGGGCATGGAGCCGCCCACGACAACCTTCTAGTTACAAATGGCGGGAGCATTACATTGCAAAATGACCGATACTTAATCTACCCAACCAGCACAGAAAGCTCCGTTGTTTTGGGAGGGACTCGATCCAGAACTTCATCTGGGTCATGCTTGGAGCAGGGCACTAGTTGCCAACAGGGTCAACCGTGCGCAGCGCCGGTTCCGAAATTTTTGCGAACCCCCTCCCCTTCTAAGGATATCCGTAGGACCCCCTGTATTAGCCATTTATATCTTTCTACATATTCGAACGAACATGACAAATAATAGTCCCGTTGTTCCGTTTTTTCCCCTCTATGACCTCTTCAGGCTACTCTCTCTGTAACGTAAGATGCCAAGTTTGAAACGCTCATAAGTTTTTGTTATGCAAAATTGGTATAATTGAGGTAAAAAGTCTTGAGTGTAACAATCTCCGGAACATTTTAGATGCGCAGCATTTAACTGCCTGAATCTCGTAATTGGTCAAAAGCAAGAGGCTAAGAAAAGGGAAAGCGAAAGCACCTTGCATCAAATTCTCAATAGTGTAGCGTTTGCGGTTCGCGTGCTAATCCTCGTATTGCTACATGACGTGATCATTCGGACTTTCTAGTGAGTTCCAACTCACTTGGACGGAGAATCTTTGAGACGGTTCCAGAGGTCCTCTGCAGCGTGATACCCAGAGATGATGAAGGAGTCTAAGAGATCTGAGCAGAGAATGCTCAAGACCAACTGTTAGCCGCAACCATTTTCGTATTGTATTCAAAAAGCAATTCAAACCAATCTTGTTTTTGCAACCACAAAGTCTTTCTGAATCTTGAACTGCTAAATATGTAACTCTGTTGCCGTGCGCATTCGATAAAGAGACGGGAGATGCAGGAAGCATGCGAGCGCAATATAGAAATTTGGCTAACTTGACTTTAACTTATTTTGGTGTATGATTGATTCCTGTCGATTAGTTGCTCGATTGCTCTTTCCCCAGTTTCCCACTTACGGCAGTGGCTTGTGAATTCGCGACCTTAAAATCAGATTGAATATAAAGTTCATGGTCAAGTCACCCATCTGTCCGATAACGAACTTGCAGAAGATTCTGGGGAAGTGATTGTAAACTTGTCAGAGTAATAATGAGCGCTAGACTACATGTTGCGACGGCACACCACTTTAGGATCGTTGAGTGCTCTGCGAAACTCTATATAGAGAGTCAAATCGTCACTGACGAAAGTCAATTTTTAAGGTGAATTTGGGCTGATTAGAAAATAATGCATGAATTACAAATGTATTCCTAAGATGAGACCCTATGATAAGCGAAGTCTTCTCCCTGCATAACTGGTCAATCAGAGCTAGTAAGTACCGCATCTGCAGTTGTACTTGCCCTACAGAGATCATTGTGAAGCGGAACACCCCACTATAACCACTATAACGGTGATGACTTCAAGTAGGGCATTTGAATGGATTGGTTTTTCGGAAGCGAGATCATGTGGTCCTTGATCAAGTATGTGTATAACGGCTTTCACATACGTCTCAGAATAGCTGTACTATTTCAATTCCTTTCACACCTTTTTTCTAACCTTTATGTTCAATTTTCACTGTAGGTCACTTTGTGATCATTTTGCTTTTCCTTTTCCCTCCTGTCTTTGCCTCGCTCATTTTCTCCTTTGCTTTTCATTCCATTTTGTAGGATGTGGTCAGTTTTGATCGTTTTTCTTTTCGTTTCCTTTTCTTTTGCTCTGATTTCTTCTTGTCGCCTTGTAACTTTTTACAACAGTGGTTACACTAGCAACTAAACAACACATTTACATCATATAACAACATTCGTATATACAAGGAGGATCTCACGAAAACAAAAAAAGCCGTTTCTAACAGGTGATAATAGTTTGTCTGAAGCCTTCCCTCAGAAAACAGAATGGTCCCCAATAATACATAGCATCGAGTGCAATACATTGTATGATGCATTCCGTAATCATTGCGAGAAATACTCAATTGTCATTCGCCATGGCGCATGACGTATACCATGAAACTATACGTACATATGCTAACTTTTTACAGTGCATTTTAGATATACATTAGCTCAACTGTATTTACAGTGTACTGATAAGACCATATGTCGCAGTATGGAGCGATGGCGAGTTGTCTTCAGTCACCATCCCTAAAATCACCTTCAACGCTACCGTGTTTCAGCGCTCTCTTCGCGTACATTGTGGTCTGCAGTGGCTCAAGGAACGAGGTGGCCTGGAAAACGGTATATGGCAGTATAGTGGAGGAGACGGAAACAGTTTTCCAACCGATGGGACTCGTCAAGCATGTGGAATCAGCTGAGAGCTTTTGGGTAAACTTTGCGTTCTATCAAAAGCTGCACTTATCGCGTTCACGTAAGCTTCACATGGCAGTGTGCCATTGAGGTTTCAAACACACATTTTTTGGCCAACAGCATACCATTAAGAATTTAGGTTGTGCGTTTCCCGCAGCCGAAACAGCAAGCATCGGGTCATCAAGAGACTACATGCCAGAGTGGCCTTTTCGTTCTGGACAAGAAATCATATGCATGGTTGCAACACTACAAGAAACTTCCGTGCCTTGTATGCCATAATAGGAAACTATTCACACCTTTTTCGAAACGGCGCCGATTGTTTTCAGCGTTATCCAGCAGCATGGCCTTGCTCAAATGAACGAGCAAGCAAGTCGATTCTTCCTTGTTGTGGAGCGGTAGACCCTGTGTCGTGTTCATCAGCCCCACATCTTCTTCGGACGGTTCTTCATTACGATAAATTGCGAAGAAATGAAAATCACGTGTAATTCGGTAAGTGACCAAGTGCAAATAGGTGATTTTTCTCAATTGGAAAATACTATTCCATCATTCTATAGGCGAGACACGCAATTTCTGGGAGAAACTTCGACGAATCCTTGGATCAAAATGCGGCAGGGAGACTGAAGCCAGTCGATCCTAACATCGCCGCACTGCTAGGTTGGTCAACCTACTGCATAGTTTAAAATTGACAGGAAACACGTTTATACCTTTCAAGGTCACTCCGAAGAAGTCCAAGCGCGTCATTATGTGGACAGCTGGGCAAAGTCCGCTGTGAAGGGATACCGTATTGTGAAGCTGTTAGCCGAAAGACAGAAAGGACTATTCGGGGCCGATATAGCGGCGGCTGAACGGCGCGTAAAATTCATGGGGTATGCTCAGTCAATTAATTTCGTCCACCGGCCACCGATTAGACGTAGATATACCGCCATTCTAAACGCTAAGCTTGATGAGAATGACCCTCCAGTAACGGCTGAACGACTGCTATTATGGGTTGGTATTCCAGTCGAAACTACTTCTTCAATTGGACACCATCTCATGGACTGGACAGTTTCGCAGCATACAAAGCGAGCCGCATTGTTATGTGCCCTGAAATGCACATGTGAGTCGATAAACGATTATTTGGTTACTTCCGTTCATGCAGCATCGTACAAGCCTCCTTCCGATTTCAGAAATATGATCCCTTTCGACGCAGATAATCAGCTGGATAAGCTGCTCATGGCAGCTTACGGAGATGCATATCATAGGAAGAGGAAAGCGTCGGTGGTGATTGTGCTGAAACCGGCAGTCGGTATCGCAGCAGTGGTACTTCTTGGTGAGGCCATCTCACCAAGTTCACCACAAAGGTATAGCTGTTGCGTGAGTTACGACGAGTCTGCAGAGAGTTGCTATGCGGTGAGCACTATCCCCATAAATGCTTTACTGAGCAATCACACTTTCGAGGCTACATCGTTTCAGGTTCGCAAATGTCCGTTGAATACCGAAGGACCGACCCTAAGCGAAGAGTTTGGCAGAGCAGAGCTGCTGCATTTTAGGACCAAGAATCATGATATGTGGACGGACTTGTTGTACAAGAAGAACCTGGAGTTTTCGTATGTTATCAACGTCATGCGCCAGTATCACAGTCTCCAAAGTCTTTGTACGTTCCGAATTGAAATTTTTCTTTATTTCCACGATTTGTTTGTAACATGCTGAACAAATTTTGGTCATCACTACATTTTTTTTTT